AGTGGATTGGAAGAGAAGATTGCAAACCTTCTGGGGCTCATTCTGATGCCTCTCAGTTTTCTTAAGGTGTTTTTGACGTTTTTATCTACAAAGACTTCTCAAGCACCTTCCACTCCAGAGATTACATTCTCACTGTGCTGGACCCAGGCTGAACTGAAATATTAGCCATAACTCAAGTCCTTCGGAGGGAGAATCTGGTCAGCTTGGCATGGGCCAGATCCATTCAAGTGTCAAAATAGAGGTGAGGATTTTCTTGAGACAACTAGAACTCCCTGCCAGGGACCCATCCCTGTGGAGGAGGTGGAAGGAGATGGAGCCAGTTCCTAAAGGAGGAGGAAACCGTTAGGAGCTGGACACACATAGAGTAGTAGTAGTGTAAGGAGGGGCATCAAGTTCTGATCAACTTTTTTTTTTAAACCTTTTATTTTGATATAATTACAGATTCACAGGAAATTACAACAACAGTGCAGAGCGGTTCTGTGGATCTTTTACCTAGTTTCTCTTAATGATTACATTTTACCTAACTATAGTACAATATCAAAACGAGGCAACTGACATTGGGACAGCATATGTATTGTTCCATGCCGTTTAATCACATGTGTAGAGTCTTGTAACTGCCACTGTAATCAAGGTACAGAAATCAGACCTACCCTCTCCTCGCCATTCCTTACCCCTGGCAACCACTGATCTGTTTCCCATCTCTAGAATTTTTTCATTTTGAGAATGTTATATAAATAGAATCACACAGCATGATCTTCTGAGTTTGGCTTTTTTCACTTGGCACAGTCCCTTGACATCCAAGTTATATATCTCAATCAGCACTGCTAAGCAGTATTCTGTGGTATGGATGTGCCATAGTCTCTTGAGCCATTCACTTGTTGAGAGATGTTTTGGCTGTGTCTAGTTGTTGAGCATTATAAATAAAGTGACTGTGAGCATCTTGTGTACAGGTTCTTGTGTGTGCATAAATTTTCGTTTCTCTGGTATAAATGTCCAAGAGTGTGATTGCTGGGTTGTGTGTGGAGTGTATGTTTAGTTTTAAAAGAAACTGCCAAGTTGTTTTCCAAAATGGCTGTACCATTTTACATTTCCACCAGCAATGTATGACAGATGCAGTTTCTCCACATCCTCACCAGCATTTGGTTTTGTCACTATTTTTTTATTTTAGCTGTTCAAGTATGTGGGTTGTTCTATCCTGTCATGGTCTTAATTTGCATTTCCCTAATGGCTAATGATGTTGAATGTCTTTTCATGTGTATATTTACCATCATATATCCTCTTTGGTAACATGTCTCTTCATGTCCTTTGCCCATTTTCTAATTGAATTGTTTTTTTTGCTGTTGAGATTTGAGAGTTCTTTTTATATATTTTAAATACATATCAATTGTCAGGAATGTGGTTTGCAAATATTTTCTCTCAGTCTATAGCTTGTCATTTCATCCTCTTAACAGTCATTTGCAATACAAAAGTTTTTAAAATTTTGAAGAAGCCCAACTTATTTTTTTTCTTTTATGGATTGTGCTTTTGTTGTTACATCTAAAAACTCTTCACGAACAAGCCCTTGGTCCTGAAGATTTTCTCTCATGTTTTATTCTAAAAGTTATATAATTTTACACTTTATATTTAAGTTGCTTGATCCATTTTGTGTTGTTTTATGTAAGATCTGGGTCAGGGTTCTTGGCCTGTGGATGTTGAATTGCTTCGGCGCTGTTGGTTGAAAAGGTTATTCTCGGGACGCCAGGGTGGCTCAGTTGGTTGGGTGTCTGACTCTTGGTTTTGGCTCAGGTCATGATCTCATGGGCGGTGGGATTGAGCCCTGCATTGGGCTCCCCAGTCTGCGCTCAGCAGTTTGGGACGTTGCGGTTGAAAGATTCTCTTCCTCTGCCCCACCCCCCAGTCAGGCACGTTCTCTCTCTCTCTAAAAATAAAATAAATCTTAAAAAAAAAAAAAGAAAAAGCTGTTCTTGCTCCATTGACTTGCTTTTGCACCTCTGTCAGAAGTAAGTTGTCTGTACTAGTGTGAGTGTGTTTCTGGGTTCTCTATTCTGTTCCACTGATCGATGTGTGTTTCCCTCTGCCTATTAATCCACACAGTCTTGATTACTGTCTTCATTACTTATTTACTTGATTACTATAGCTATATAATAAAATGTCTTCTATTTCTCCCACTTTTATTACGATTTTTCAAAATTGTTTTAGGTATTCTAATTCCTCTAACTTTCCATATAAATTTTAGAATAATTTTGTCTTGATCCACAAAAATTCTTGCTGAGATTTTGATACGAATTGTGCTAAACCTTTGGTGCACCTCAGTGGCTCAGTTGGTTAAGCATTTGCTTTCAGCTCAGGTCATGATCCTGGGGTCCTGGGACCAAGTGCCCCGTGGGGCTCCCTGCTCAGCGGGGAGCCTGCTTCTCCATCTCCCTCGCCTGCCCCCCCTGCCGGCTTGTGTTCTTCTTGCGTGTCTCTTTCTCTATCAGATAGATAGATAGATAGATAGATAGATAGATAGATAGATAGATAGATAAATAATCTAAAATAATTTTTTTAAAAAGGAATTGTCTTAAACCTTTATATCAGTCTGAGGAGATTTGGCATCTTTACTATTTTGAGTCATTCAATCCATGAACATGATAAATATTTCTCTATTTTGATCCTATTTTTCATTACTGTTGTATATAGTTTTCAGCATGTAAATCTTGTGTATGTTTTGATATATCTAAGAACTTCAGTTTGAAGCTTTGTAAATGATACTGTATTTTTTATTTTTTCCCAAGTATTCAATGTTAGTGTATCAAAATTCTGTTGATTTTTTAAAAAGATTATCTATTTATCTGAGAGAGAGAGAGAGAGAGGGAGGGAGGGAGAGGAGCAGAGGAAGAGGAACAAGCAGACTCCACCCTGAGTGCAGAGCCCAATGCCGGGCTCGATCCCACAACCCAGAGATCATGACCCGAGCCAAAATCAAAAGCCGGATGCTTAACTGACTGAGCCACCCAAGCGCCCCCATTCTTTTGATTTTTGTATGTTAATCTTCTCTCCTCAAAACTCATTTTTATTAGTTCAGAGAATTTTTTTATAGATTCCTTGGAATTTTCTATGTAGGCCATCATGTCATCTGCAGATAGGGACAGTTTCATTCTTTTCAGTTATGTGTGCCTTTTATTTCCTTTTCTTGCATTACTGTGTTGGCTAGGACTTCTAGCACTGTGTTGAAAATAGTAATGAAAGTAGAAATCCTTGCTTTGTTCCTCATCTCAGGGGGGAGAGCATTCAGTTTTTCATTATGTATGATGTCAGCTGTAGTTTTTTGGTAGAAGTTCTTCATCAAGTTGGACAAGTTGGCCTCTATTCAGTTTTCTGAGAGTTTTTGTCATGAATGGTTATTGAGTTTTATCAGGTGATTTTTCTATATCAGTTGATATGTGATTTTTTTCTTTCATCTGTTAGGATGGTGGATTGCACTGATTGACTTTTGAATATCGAATCAGCCTTTCATCTCTGGAATAAAGCTCTCTTGGTCATGGTGTATAAGTTTTTAATACATTGCTAAATTCTATTTGTTAATATTTTGTTAAAGATTTTGCAGATATCTATGTCCAGGAGAGATATTGTGTCTAATTTATATCTTGCTAGGCTGCCCCTTTCCAAGTCATTTGGCTAGAGAGAGCAGTATTTGGGTTGGGGGAGGCTTTTTATTGTCTGACCTTATTGACATTTATGGCTTGCTGACTTCTCCACCATCCAGTCTGGGATATATGAAGCAAAAGAGAAAACCCAGGGAATTCACTGCTATGTGTTTCCCTGAGTACTGAGTTCCTGGGCTGGTTTGCCTTCTTCACTCCACTTTTTGGAGTAATCTTATGTTTGTCTTACATATTATGTCCAGGATTTTAACTGTAGTTGGTGGGGTAGAGAGAAGTATGTCTACTCCATGTTGTCCTGAAACTGGAAATCCAATCCTTATCTTTCTGAAAGTAGATTTTAAATCCTCTTCCCTGCCTATTTATGGATGAAAAAATTAATCTTTCAACTTCTTGGGGAACGGAGTATGCCTTCTGCAGATTAGCAGAGTGGGTAGCATAGTGTATATTCTCAGTGAATAGTAATCATCTCCACAATGGTCACTATGCATTCCGGTTAAGTTGCCCTGGCATAGAACCTACGTCTCACAGGTTGCACATATGTCTGTTTTCCTAGGGGAACTTAAATTGCCCTTTTGCTCTGCAAATTCAGTATTTTTTGCTGTGGGATATAAGGCTGTAGGTTATACCATCGTGTTGATATATCATCCCAACTGTAGACAGCTTTGAGGGAGAAAGAGGGTTCCAAGAATAATTAGGGCCAGTCAAGCAGTGTAAGCAGAGACTGTAACGGGCAAAGTGGAACATATGGTCACCCTAGTTATACCTGCTCTGTGAATTTACTATTGACTTAATTTGGCAATAGTGGTATTAAAACATTTTCTCAAGTGCCACAGATGTATGCTGGTATATGCACATGCCTGAGCATACTCACACACATAGACACACTCAAGCATTCATGCCTAATAATAAAGAAATGAAGGAGACTTGTATAGGCCGGCTAAGTTAATGTAGGATTTTTCCTAAAGAGAATGTTCTTCTATTCATTTCCTTCAGACTTGTCCACAGGGGCCACCTGCAGGTCTTTTAAAAATGCCATTAAGGCTTACACAAAAAGGGCATTCTAGTTAATGTGGTTTGTCAGGAAGAAATACTTATTAAAATGTCTTGGAATAAATGGAATGCGGCGTTTGAAAAGGTCCAATTCACAGCTTGTCTTTCAAGTTATAAAATGGGAAGTACTCCAGGTGTGAATAATTCATCCGGACAAATTTGTTTCATTTGATGTGTGTCTGCCTGCCTGCCTGTGACATTAGCCCCTTGTTAGTTGAGCACTTCTCATGAGTCAGTGTTCTGACCCACAAGGGTCCGGACCTCTGAGTTCTATTTCCCTGAACTGTTTGTACTTTTTTATAGACAGTCTTCCAAACAGAAGAAGGCCATTCAGACTGCTATCCGCAAAAATAAAGAGGCAAATGCAGTGCTGGCCCGGCTGAACAGTGAACTTCAACAGCAGCTCAAGGTAAGGAGCTTCCCGAAATTGGATTACTGGGCTTTTCATCTGGTGGTTTTGTTTTGACCATTGGCTGAGCACCTGCTTCCATTTCTGTTGGTAAGACTTGCATCTTTGTTCTCAAACCTCTTTTGGAAGGCAGAGAATGGCTGCACTTAAGTTTCATGGGCTGGTTCTTGTATGTTTAGAGGAAGACTAGCAACTTGAATATGCAGGCTACATATTGTTTATTAGTGACTAGGACAGAGAATTTATTACAAAGGCTGTCTGAAGCATTCTTCATTCCCGAAAGCTTCTGGACAAGCCCTTGATTGTTTAGATCCTCCCTGAATATACTTATGTATATACTTATGTAGGTGGAGGAGGGTAGCCCTGATACTATCAAAGGCCCGACCCCTCCGGCGGGCAAATGGTTCCGTATCACCTTCTCAAGAACATCACCTCTCTCCTTACCACCTCTTTCTCATCACCATTCATCTCCCCTGTTTTGGTTTTCCAGGACTGCCATAACAAAGTACTACAACCTTGGTGGCTGAAAGTACCAGAAATCACTTCTCACAACTCTGGCGGCTAGAAGTCTGAAATCAAGGTGTCAGCAGAGCCGTGCTCTGTCTCTGAAGGCTCTAGGGGAGAATCCTTCTTCTTTCTTCCCAGCTTCTAGTAGTGGCTGGCAATCCTGGGCGTTCCTTGGCTTCCAGATGTGTCATTCCAATATCTGTCTTCACTGTCACATGGTCTTCTCTCTGGGTCTCTCTGTGTCTGTGTCCAAATTCCTCTTCTTATTTAAGTGTCCTCTTCTTATAGGGACACCAGTCATTGAATTAAGGCCTGCCCTAGTTTAGCATAACTGCATTTTAATTAAATTACATCCACAAAGGTCCTATTTTTCTATGAGGTCACATTTACAGATGCTGGGAGTTAGGACTTAAGCATATCATTTTGGGGGACACAGTTCTACCTACTGCATCCCCTGATTCTCTACTGCATCATTCCCATCCATATAAACGTGCTCCAGTATTGTCCATTATCTTGACTTCACATCCTTCTTCAATTGCAGCCCCCTCTCTCTGCTCTCCTTCCCAGCTAGGTTTCTTAGGAGTTGTTTTCATTTACTCTCCTTCCTCACCAACAGCTTTCTCTCTCTCCACTTCAATTTGGCTTTGCTCTGCTCCATTCACATCCCTCCTACAACCAAATCCAATGGGCCGCTTTCAATGTTACTCGAATTTTCAGAATTCTACACAATTGGCCATTGCCTCCTCTGAAATGGCCTTTCTCACTGGCTTTTGGACTACTATACTTTTTTCCTGTTCCTTCCACTACCTCCCTCCCTCCCTCCTTCCCTCCCTTCCTGGTGCTTCTTCCTTAGCATTCTGTGCTATTTCTTCCTTCTTTGAGTTCTCTTTTATTACTCCCCCTTTGCCCCAATATTTTATTATGAACATTTTTAAGCATACAAGAAAGGTGAAAGAATCCTATGGTAAATACTTTTATAGCCACCTCTTTTAACATTTTACTATACTTGTTTTATCACATATCTACCCCTCTGTTCCTCATTCTACCTTATTTTTAACATGTTTTTCAGTAAATTGTAGACATCTGTATGCATCCCCTAAATATTGCAACATGCAGATCAGTAACTAGAGTTCAGTATTTTTACAGGTTTTTTTGATGATGTAAGTTTTACATAGAATGAATGCACAGATGCTAAGTGTGCCATTTGCTGAATTTTTACAAATGCATATACTTATGGAACCCAAACCCCTATCAAGATACAGAACATTACCGTCATCCTACGAGGCTCCCTCATGCTCCTTCCCTGTCAATTCCAGCCCCACGCACACAGAGGCAACCACTGTTCTGACTTTGTTATGTCATAGTGTTGTTTATTCTGTAACTTTATATAAATGGTGTTCCCTAACACGTACTTTTATGTAAAGCTTATTTCACTTAGTATTACATTTTTGAGATTCATTGATAATGCACGTGTCAGTAATCCATTCCTTTTTACTGCTGGATAGTATTCCACTGAGTGATTATTCTGCAATTTCATTATCAGTTCTTCTATTAATAGACATGTGAGCTGTTGCTAGTTTTTGGCTATTTTGAAGAAAACCACATTCTTGAATAAGTCTTTGTGTGGAAATATGTCCTCATTTCTCTTGGGGAAGTACCTAAGATTTGGATTAGTAGGTAATGTGGCGAACATATGTGATTAGTTTTATTAGAAACTGCTAAAGCTTGGGGCGCCTGGGTGGCTCAGTCAGTGAAGCGTCTGCCCTTTGGCTCCGGTCATGATCTCAGGGTCCTGGGATCGAGCCCCACGTTGGGCTCTCTGCTCAGCGGGAAGCCCGCTTCTTCCTTTCCTTCTGCCTGCCGCTCCCCCTGCTTGTGTTCTTGCTCGCTCTCTCTCTCTCGTCTCTCCCTCTGTCAAATAAATAAATAAAGTCTTTAAGACGAAAAAAGAAAAGAAACTGCTAGAGCTTTTCCCAAAGTGGTTGTAGCATTTTGCACTCCTCCCACTAGAACGTGAGAGTTCCTGTTATTCCACATCCTTGCCAACATTTGGTGGTGATCTTTTAATTTTTGTTTATCCTGTGGTGATTTAGTTTTTATTTTGCATCTCCTTGATGCTTAATTTTGCTGAGCATTTTTTATTACAATTATTTACCTTTCATATGTTTTATGAAGTGTTCAAAGTATCTGGCCATTTAAAAAATCATTTTTTGTCGTCTTTTGTGGCATTGTAAGTAGATGCTTTTTATACTATCTTGGTTACTAGTCCTTTGTCAGATACCTGTTTTATAAATGTTTTCTTCCAGTCTTTCATTTTCTTAACTGTATCTTTTCAAGAACAGATATTTTTAACTTTTAAACAGTCTAATTTATTGGGTTTTTTTCTCTTATGGTTCTTATTTTCTTCTCATATAGGGAAACTGCCTACATCTAAATTATGAAGATAGTCTCCTATGTTTTCTTTTAAAGCCATTATTGTTTTAGCTTTTGCATTTAGGTCTTAAGTTACTTTTTTAAACCACTTTATTGAGGTATGATTGATACACAACAAACGATGCATATTTAATGTATGCAATGTGATACATACAGTTGGAAGATAATTATATATCCATGGACCCATCACCACAATTTATGCCATAAAACTATTCATCACATCTAAAAGTTTCCTTCCCCCTCTTATTATTATCATCATTATTATTTTGTGAACATGACAAGAACACTTAACATAATAAGATCTGCCCTCTTGGCAAATTTTTAATTATACACTACAGTATAATTCATCGTAGGCACTATGCTGTATAGTAGATCCCTGGACCTTAATCATTCTGTATAACTGAAACTTTGTACCCTTTGAATAGTACTTCCCCATTTCCCCCAGCCTCTGACAACCACCATTTTCTACTCTCCTTCTAGGAGTTTGACTGTTGTAAATTCCTCATATGAGTGGTGTCACTTAGCATTTGTCCTTCTGTGTCTGGCTCATTTTCCTTAGTGTAATGTCCTCCAAGTTTATCTATGTTGTTGCAAATGGCTGAATTTCTTTCTTTTTAAAGACTGAATAATATCCCATTGTATGTATATATATTTTCTTTATCCATTTGTCCATCGGTAGATACTTAGGTTCCTTCCATGTCTTGGCTACTGTGAATAATGCCACAGTGAACATGAGAGTACAGATAATCTCTTCAAGATACTGATTTTAATTCCTTTGGATATATACCCAGAAGCTGGATCATATTTGGTAGTTCTATTTTTTTCAGGTTTATTGAGATATAATTGACATATAACACTGTGTATAGGTATCAACATGTTGATTTGATACATTTACATATTGCAATATGATTATCATAGTACTGTTAATACCTTTGTCACCTCACATAATTACCAATTCTTTTATGTGGTGAGAACATTTAAGATTTACTCTCTTGGCAGCTTTGAAGTATGTAATGTAGTATTGCTAACTATAGACACCATGTTGTACATTAGATCCCTAGAACTTACTCATCTTATAACTGGAACTTTGCACCCTTAGTTAACATCTCTCCATTTCCCCTCCAGCTCCTGGCAACTTCCATTCTACTTTCTGTTTTTATGAATTTGGCTTTTTTTATATTCCACACACAGGTGATATCATGCAGTATTTGCCTTTCTCTGTCTTACTCCCCTTGGCATAGTGCCTGCAAGGTCCATCCATGTCACAAATGACAGGATTTCCTTCTTTCTTATGGCTGAATGGTACTCCATTGTATGTATGTACTACATCTTTATCCATTCATTTGTAGACAGATACTAATGTTGCCATAGCTTGGCTGTTGTAAATAATACTGCAGTGAACATGGGAGTGGAGATATCCCTTTGAGATCCTGATTTTTATTTCATTTGGATACTTGGAAGTGGGATTGCTGGATCATGTGGTAGTTCTTTTTTTTAATATTGAGGAACCTCCATGCTGTTTTCCATGGTGGCTGCACCAATTTACATTCCTACCAACAGTGCACAAGGATTCCCTTTTCTCCACATTTTTGGCAACACTTATGTCTTACCTTTTTGATAATAGCCATTCTAACAGGTGTAATGTGATACCTCATTGTAGTTTTTTTTTTTTTTTTTAAAGTAGGCTCCACACCCAATGTGGGGCTTGAACTCACAGCCCTGAGATCAAGAGTTGCATACTCCACCAACTGAGCCAGCCACGTACCTTTCATTGTGGTTTTGATTTACATTTCCTTGGTGATTGCTGATGTTGGGCATCTTTTACATACCTGTTGGTCATTTGTTTTGGTATGTTGTGTTTCCATTTTCATTTGTTTCAAGATCGTTTTTGATTTCTTCTTTGACCTATTGGTTGTTCAGGAGTGAAATAATTTTTATTGCCTTAATTGTATTAATTCCTGTTAAAAGTTATACTACCTCATTGTTTTCCCTCAAGGTATTAACTGGATGCTTGTCACTCTAGCATTGTGCCTATTAATGTTTTATGTACTTGATTTTTAGGATTCTAAATCATAGAATTTCAGAGCTTTAAGAGAGCTTGGAAACCCTCCTTCAACAGATGGGCATAGCAAGGCCCTTGAAATCTGTGTGACTGGCCCATGGTCACTTAGCTACCATGTAACAGAGCAGAGGAGGAGTAATACCAAGTCTCCAGCACCTTTGGCACTCTGCTTCCCTGTATGATACTGATTTGCTTTTTATTAACTTTTTTATTATTGAAGTATAGTTGACATACAATGTTACTTAGTTTCAGGCATATAACATAGTGATTCTGCAATTCTGTGTATTCTGAGTACAGCGCTCACTACCACAAGTGTAGTCACCATCTGTCACCATGCAGTGTTATTATAATATTATTGACTATATTCCCTATGCTGTACTTTTCATCTCCATGACTTACTTATTTTATAACTGGAATTTTGTACCTCTTAATCCACTTCACCTATTTTGCCCATCCTTCCACTCACCTCCTCTCTGGCATCCACCAGTTCTATGTATTTAAGAGTCCGTTTTTTTGTTTGTTCATTTGTTTTATTTTTCAGATTCCATGTATAAGTGGAATCATATGGTATTTGTCAT